CTGCACTATCTTCTTAAATTTTTCACCTAAAGCAGGTGCCTCATTTGCCTTGTGTGATATAACCCTGCTGTCACTAGTTTCCAGGAACTTTTTAATTTCCTCTTTTATTTCATCAATGACCCATTGTTCATTAAGCAGTGAGTTACTCAGTTTCCAGCTGTTTGCATATTTTTTGTCTTTACTTTTGTTGTTGAGTTCTAGTTTTACTGCATTGTGATCAGATAGTATGCACGGTATAATTTCTATTTTCTTATATTTGCTGAGGCTTGCTTTGTACCCTAGGATATGAACATTTTGGAGAAGGTTCCATGGGCTGCTGAGAAGAATGTATATTGTGTAGAAGTTAAATGAAATGTTCTGTAGACATCAACTAGGTCCATTTGATCTATGGTATATTTTAGATCTAGGATTTCTTTATTGATTTTTTGTTTGGATGACCTATCTATTGATGCTAATGGTGTGTAAAAGTCTCCCATGACCACTGTGTTGGAGTTAATATATGCTTTTAGGTCTTCAGGGTATGTTTGATGAAATTGGGTGCATTGACATTGGGTGCATATAGGTTGATAATTGTTATTTCCTTTTGGTCTATTTCCCCTTTTATTAGTATGGAATGTCCTTCTTTATCTCGTTTGATCAATGTAGGTTTGAAGTCTACTTTGTCAGAGATAAGTATTGCTACTTCTGCCTGTTTTCGGGGGCCATTGGCTGGGTAAATCTTATTCCAGCCTTTCTTCCTAAGCCTATGCTTATTTCTGTCGGTGAGATGGGTCTCCTGTAAGCAACAAATTGTTGGATCTTCCTTTTTAATCCAGTTCATCAAACGGTGCCTTTTGATGGAGGAATTAAGTTCATTAACATTAAGTGTTAGTACTGACAGGTATGTGGTGATTCCTGTCACTTAATTGTCTTAGTTGTTTGAAGGTTTGATTGTGTTCACCTAAGTTGAGGTTACTCTCTGCTTTCTTGCTTTTTCTTTTCCTGTAGTTTGGTGCTGCCTGTCTTTTCATGGTTATGTTTGGTTTCACTTTCTGTGTGCAGAATCCCTTGAAGAATCTTTTGTAGTGATGGCTTTGTGGTCACATACTGTTTTAGTTTCTGCTTATCATGGAAGACTTTTATTGCTCCATCTACTTTGAATGATAGTTTCACTGGGTAGAGTATGCTAGGGTTGAAGTTATTTTCATTCAGTGCCTGGAAGATCTCACCCCAAGGTATTCTTGCTTTTAATGTTTCTGTTGAGAAGTCTGCTGTGATTCTGATGGATTTACCTTTGTATGTAATTTGTTTTTTCTCTCTTACAGCCTTCAGTATTCTTTCTTGGGTCTCTGTATTTGTTGTTTTAATGATAATATGCTGTGGGGTAGATCTATTTTGGTCTGGTCTGTTTGGGGTTCTGGAGGCCTCTTGCATCTGTATGGGAATACATTTCTCTAGATTTGGGAAATTTTCTGATATTATTTTGTTGAATATATTACTCATTCCCTTTGCTTTCACCTCTTCTCCTTCTTCAATGCCTATGATTCTCAGGTTTGGTCTTTTGATGGAGTCAGTGAGTTCTTGCATTTTCTTTTCACAGGTCTTGAGTTGTTTAACTAATAGTTCTTCAGTTTTTCCTTTACCATTTCATCTTTGAGTTCTGAGATTCTGTCTTTTGTTTGTTCTATTCTGCTGGATTGGCCTTCCATTTTGTTTTGCAGTTCTGTTTCGTTCTTTTTTCTGAGGTTTTCCATATCCTGAGTCATTTCCTCTTTAATGTTGTCTATTTTTGTCCTGAGTTCACTTATCTCGTTATTAATCGTGTTCTTTGTTTCACTTTGGTGTTTATACAGTGCTTCTATGGTTTCTTTTATTTCTTCTTGTGCTTTTTCAAATTCTCTATTTTTGTTTTCTTGGAATTTCTTGAGTGTCTCCTGTACATTTTGGTTGACCATATCCAGTATCATCTCTATAAAATTCTCATTGATTACCTATAGGATTTCTTCTTTTAGATTATTCTTGTGGGCTTAATTGGGTTCTTTGGCATAGTTTATCTTCATTATGTTGGAGTCTGGATCTGAGTATCTGTTTTCTTCATTTCCCTCTGGTTCCTGTACTAATTTTTTGCTGTGGGGAAACTGGTTTCTGTGTTTTTTCTGTCTTCTTGTCATTGTCCTTGGGGTTGTTGTTGTCCCTGTACTGTGTGCAATTAAGTGTTTTCTAGCTTGTAATAATAACAATGGTGATATTTAGAATGGAAGGGTGAGAGGAGAGGGAAAGCAAAGAAGTTAAAGAAAGGGGAAAACAAACAAGTAAAAAAACAAACAAAAGTTTCAAAGATATAAACAGGGAGAGATAGAGTACTAATCAACAGTAAGCTGAATAGACATTAGAGAGACAGAGGACTGAGAAAGAAAAAATAAAATAAAAAATAAAAATAGAAAGAAATTTAAAAATCTCCAAGTTCAAATGCAATAAAGTTTCAGTCTTAATAATTTTGGTGTTAGTCCCTCAGCCTCCAATCCTGGAGATGGTGTCTCAGAAGTAGTTCTGTCATTGTCTCATCAAAGGGGAAAAAAACAAAAAAAAAACACCACAAAGTGCCCCAAGTTCAAATGCAATACAGTTTCAGTAAGTTTTTCAGCATGCAGGTGTAGTTCAGTTGTCTCATCAAAGGGAGGGAGAGAGAAAAAAAGAGTCTGGAGACAGTTCTGTGAATGGTATCTGCGTCTGTGGCTCACCTGCCCGCTGCTGTCAGCCTGCTGTGGCTGGAGGCTTTATTTATGCAGATCTCAGGAGTGAGCTTAACACTTACCTGGCCCTCAAGCTTTGTTTACTTAGAGTTCTCCTGGGCCTAACCGCCACTGCTACAAGCTTTCCCCTTTCCAAGCACACTGGGGGAGGTGACACTGCACCAGCTTTCTCAGGCTGGCATGTTTATTTACAGTTCACGTGGGAAGTTGGCCTTCCCCGTCTCCTGTGGAGTTTTCCTCCCTCTGCTGCTTTTACAAGGTTTCCCACTCCTGGTTGCTGGGCGCAGGCCCCTGCTCCTGCCTTCTCTGACCGGCTTGTTTATTTACAGTTCTGTGAGGGATTGCCCCTCCCCCTTAGGTGCTCAGGGCATCCCGCCCTCTTTGCTACGTGTCTTTTTTGTTGTTATTGTTTATTATTCAGTTTTTTTTTCTTTTTTCCCTGGGTGGGGGTTGGTCTGTCCAGGGGGCTATGCTGATCTGGCCCAGGGTTGTCTGTGGGATTTACCGTGTGCCACTTAGCTCACCTTGTGGTCCACGTCTTTCCAAGCCATCTGGGCTCTGCCGTCTGGCAGCGGCGAGAGAGCCCGCCTGGTTTCTCCGTTTAATGTGAAGTGGAGCTTCTATGCATGGGCTGGGGGTGTGGGGAAGTCAAAGTTTTGCCTCTTCTTGGTGGTTTTTCCTGTAATGTGTGTCTCCAGCATCTCTCCAAGATTTTACTTTAGGAAGCACACTTTCTGCCTCCTCCCTCTAGCCGCCATCTTGGAATCTCTTGTCTGTTGTCTTGTTGTGTTGCTGGTGTTGGCGTTGTTGTCTCATCATCTTCTGGTTACTCCAGTGTTTGAAATTCTCTTGCTTCTGCTTCTGCTGATTTGCTTTCTTTGGTTGGTTGGTTTGGTTTTTTGTTTTGTTTTTTCCCCATTAGAACCTAGTTTCTTGGTATCCTGATCATCTTTGGCTGAATGGTACTCGTTCTACTTAAAATTATTTGTAGGAATGATTAATGCCTTAAAATCATCAAGAGTCTAGGCTTAAGCCAGTGCCAGTGGCTCATGCCTGTAATCCCAGCTACTCAGGAGAATCACAGTGCCAAGCCAGCCTGGACAAATAGTTCACAAGACCCTGTTGAAAATACCCAACACAGAAAAGGGTTGGCAGGGGTGGCTCAAGTGGTAGAGAGCTTGCCTAGCAAGCTTGAGGCCCTCAGTTCCACCAACAAAAACAAGAATCTAAGGCTTAGACAAAGGTACTGTCTTCTAAAGAAGCTTTGCATTTGTGTCTGCCAGTTGCCTGGAAACACTGCTAATGTACTGTTACTGTAAAATCAAGTTTAGGGCTGACAGAGTCACTCAAGCGGTAAGAGTGCCTGCCTAGTAAGGTAAGACCCTGAGTAGTTCAAAGCCCAGTGCCACAAAAAAAAAAAAGAAAGAAAGAAAAAAACTCAAGTTCAGGGCTTGAGATTTCCGAGACAAGGAAGGAGATTGACATCTGAGTACTGATTCTGGTATGTCCTGAGATTGTGTGACTTTGGAGTGGATTTCTGCTGGAAACCACATCTTCTGTGAGCCTGGGGCTTAGATTTCTCTGTTTTTCATCAGCAGGACAAAAGGCACAGATTTTCTCAGAGTGGCAAATGCCTCCAAAGCAAAATGGTCTGATAGCCTCTCTAGAGGCTCAGCTTTTCCCTTCAGTTCTGCTTTATTATCTTGTTGGCTTCTAAGATTATTTTTATTTTTTTGCATTGTTGGGTATGGAACCCAGCATGTAGGAAGCCCTGGGTTCTACCAATGAGCTACACCCGCAGCTGACTATTTTTAAAATGTTGAGGAAGAATAAACTAATCCACCATTACCCAAAATAGGAAGCTCGGCAGTTACTCCTGGATCCTGTTTTGAACATGAGTACACACAGGTGCTCAGCTCTGATTGCTCCTGGGGTCACGAAAACAGATGTGAGGTAGGGTCAGGAGCTGCATGAGAATCCACAGCTGGGGAATGGAGTAGATGAACCACAATGGCTCCGCACTGCCTGGTGATTGGAGAGTAGTGGCAGCCTTCCCTTCATGCTGTAGGGAGTGGGGATCCTCCAAAGACTGAAACCAGTAAGACAAAACAGCCAGAGTGAGTCAGGGATTTGGCGAAGGTCCTGAGTCTGGAGAAGACCGTCAGTGTGGAGAAGCATTCCCCGTTCACTCTGACTCCACACAGTGCTGCTGATGGATGCTGAAGACTTGCATTTCAGTTGTCGTGTATGTCTCCTGTGTTTTTGCAGAAGGATTTTTGTTTGTATTCGGGGGCCAAGATGAAAATAAGCAGACACTGAGCTCTGGAGAAAAGTATGATCCTGATGCAAACACATGGACTGCATTGCCACCCATGAATGAGGTAAAGTGTGCATTCAGCTCTTTGTTTGACAGTTCCTTCTCTCCTTGGCACTTTGTTGTTATCTAGTGTAGAGAAATTGGAGGCAGCCTGGCCTAGCCTCTGCCCCATGCCTGCCCTTGCCCTGTCTAACTCTCTTGCTGGTCTCCTTCTAATTCTCATACTTAGGGATGCTCTCACCCTAGGGCCTTTGCATCTGTGCTCCCTGCCTACAGCCAAAATCGCTGACACTGAAACTGCCCATGGCCTGCTCCCTTGTCTCCCTCACTTCTTTGCTACTACTTCAGTTCCCCCTCCTCCCTCTCTTCATGCCCTGTACACCTGTGCACACACGGTTGTTACAAATTTTTGTACAGACTCTGACAGCAGGGAATCTCCTGTCTTCTGTTCAGATTTTTACTGTCAGTGCCGGAATACAGAGATGCTAAGGGAGCAGTTGTTGCCTGGTGAGTGTTAAATACCTCAGGCTTCTGTAGTCTCCAATACCATGGAGACTACATACCCCCTTCCTCCATGCTGTCCCAGCCACACAATGTGTGACCCTTACCTGTTTTGTACATCAGCTTGGAAATCTTATTGCCCATTGCTATACAAAAACAATTTTATCAAATCAATTGTTACCTAAAGTAATAGTGCTTCTTGTTGTGAGGTTTTGTGGATTAAAAAGTAGTGACTCTGCTGATGAATTCACCATATGTTTTCTCTAATGAAGAAGCACTGTGAGGAGAGATAGTTTTGAACTTGGCACTTCTTTTCTGAAACTGGAATAAAATGATACCTGTAATTTCCATCAAACATGCATGTCAGCTTTCAAATACCAAGAAGTCTAATGTCTTTTTCAGGCAAGACACAACTTTGGGATTGTGGAAATTGATGGGATGCTGTACATTCTGGGCGGGGAGGACGGCAGTAAGGAGCTCACCTCCATGGAGCGCTACGACATTTACTCCAAGACCTGGACAAAGCAGCCTGACCTGACCATGGTTAGAAAGGTGAGGACGGTAGCTTTCAACAACTGGTCTGTGTGTGTACAAAGTGGATTATAACAATGTTTCTTTTGGATTTCCTTGTTGGTTGGTTGGTTCGTTTTGTTTTGTTTTGTTTTTTGAGGGGTGATTTTTTGTTTTTGTTTTGTTTAGAATTACACCCAGGGCCTCATATGTGTTCAGCGAGCACTTTACTACTAAGCAACAGCCCTGCATGTTTCTTCATTTCTTTTCTTTGTTTTTTGGTGAATGGAGTTTGAACTCAGGGCCTCACATATGCTAGGCAGGCACTCTTACCACTTGAACCACTCCATTAGCCCTCTTCATTTCTTAAGGTTGTCTTTTAACACAACTGAGATATTAAAAGAACTGACACTGTAGAAGTCTGTCTTATTGGTACCTTGCCTTTAGGTCAACAGCCACATAACAAGGTAGGATAGAGAGCAAACAAGCTGTCAGGAGGCTCCACACAGCATTGCTGTGTGTGTGCAAGGTCTGCACTTGATAGATGCTTCACTCACCTCGGGAGGAATCAAATCTCTGCACCTGTTGCTTGATCACCATGCAGGACTGAGGAGAACCATCAGTCATTGTACAGGTGAACAATTACCATCACTTCCTGCAGGGAGTTAGACATTGGGCGCATGGCCTATCTTAATTCAGACTACCTGTCATAGGCAGGAGTCTTCCATTGAGCCAAAGCTTTGTTCAGTGCCATAGGTATGTGCCCTTTTACCCAAATTATTTTGATAGGAATTGAATGACTTCTTGTTCCTAGAATCTAAATCTTGGGATCTTCAAATATTGAAGAGTAGAGACTAGAAAGCTTCTCCCCCCACACTCCCCTTTGGTGTTTGGCATAGAACCCAGGGTCTCAGGCATGCTAGGCAAGTACTATAACTCAGTGGTAGAATGCTTGTCTAGCATGCCTGAGACCCTGGGTTCAGTCTCCAGCACCGAGATAAAAAAGAAAAAAGTAGGCATATTGGCTTACCTCACTGAAGATTGAGGAAGAGCTCTTTTTTTGATCATTTGCAATATGTGTGTTACCTTGCTCACATTTTTAAAGCCCTATAGTATCCTGTTGGAAAGCACTACAGTTTTACTGTTAGAAGTCAAATCTTTTCCTGATTATCTTAAAGTGCTCTTTTGTCTAGCTCTAATAATGTTTATCTGTAATAACAGATGTTGCCTTTTCCCCTACCATTGCTCTCTCCTTTCAGATTGGCTGCTATGCAGCTATGAAAAAGAAAATCTATGCCATGGGGGGAGGATCATATGGAAAACTGTTTGAGTCTGTGGAGTGTTACGACCCGAGGACCCAGCAATGGACCGCTATCTGTCCACTGAAAGAGAGAAGGTGAATGAGTGTGGATGTGGACTTTACTGGTGCCCTTACTGTTGAGTCAGTCTCATGCCCCTGGGCCTGGCTTTTGCTTCCCTTTTCTGTCAAACAAACCTTTTGACATGGCATCTCCTAACAAAAGAAAGGGCCACATGTGCATGAAACACTTGAGTGTTGCCATTAAAACAAGCGGTAAAGGACTGGAGCGAGGTCTTGAGTTGTTAAATCCAGCGCCTGCTGTGTTCTGTATGGCCTTTCAGATTTGGAGCGGTGGCCTGTGGAGTTGCCATGGAACTGTATGTATTTGGGGGAGTCAGAAGTCGTGAGGATATCCAGGTTAATGAGATGGTCACCTGTAAGTCTGAATTCTACCATGACGAGTTTAAAAGGTAATTATAAATGGTCTCATGTAGCTTCCATAACTTTTCCTGTATGCTTTCAAAGTCATGTTTTAGCTTTGTTTAGTTTTGATTTCAAAACTAAAAAGTAACTAAGTTACTTTTTTGAATTACCTATTGAGATATGTCCAGGATATTCTAGATATTTGGTCAGTGACTTCAGAAGTAACTTAAAGGAAAGCCATGGAAATACTTCTCTAAAATGCAGCGCAGATCTTGGCACTTACTTGCTTAAAATCCTGTAGCTTTTAGGAAAAAGTTTCAGTTCCTTAACTTAGCATAGGTGGCCTTTTGTGACACAGCATTTGTGTCTAATTTTTTCTGCTGTTATTCAACCCCAAATGCTTCACACCAAGCCACTTTTTTTCCCCAAACATGTATGATTGATTATCTTCAGTCTGTGCTTGTGTGCTACTGATTTTGCCTAAGATTTCCCTTCCCGTTGTTCATGTAATTAACTAGGCCATTCCAAAACCCTGTTTACTTATCACTCCCTGAAGAAGGCCTTCCCCTGTCTCCAGTCTGACTTACAGTCCTCAGTCCAGGACCCAAAGGCACTGTACACTCGGGCTTGTGACTTGGTAACCATAGGGACCATTAGGGCCAGGTCCCACTTAGTCAGCTGTCCTTGCTTCCAGCATCCTACCAGCCTGTATCAGATGCTCAATCAGATGTTGAGTTAGCAAATGAAGTGTGGTATCCAAGATTCTTAAGCCATCTGACAAGCTACCACGTGTGTCTGTAGAGTGGGTCCTGTCCTTCCCCACACATTTTTCTGTTGTAATCACTGAATAACATTCTTACTGCAGTGACCTGTGCAGCTCCTAAGAGAAGGCTGCTGTGCTGTGTGATCGAAGCATTTCACTCCTGTTACCAGAAGGGGGTGCCATACTACAATGTTTACTTTTACAATATTTCAGATTAGGGCAAACAGTGCGCAGATACAAATGTTAGAAATGCATATAAATGTTACCTGACTTTTAAGGTATTTTAAATTTGAGGTATTTGCATGTCCTTTTTTGTATCCAGTTATAGGAGTTGAATATTTTAGGGAAATTTATGAGCGCCATTTAGAAGATGTTTGTTACATATGGTAGGGGTGGATGGAGAATTTCAAAGACTTCTACATTTCATTTCTCCTCCCTTAATCTATTACCATGGAGCTGACTGCCTGAGGCATGAAGTGCTGTGTTAATTTCCTGCCCAAACAAGTCTTGAGACAGTCTGTCTAACCTCATTAGCAAGCAGTAGCAGTGTGTTTGATTTTGATAAAATATTGATATCAACCTTTTTCATAATGACTGAATTACTGTTTAGACAACACGTGCCACTATAACTCCCCAGCTGGAAAGTCAAGTTTGCTGATGTTGTTACTGCTTTTTGGCCCTGTTTTCATTGGGCAGGACTTAAATCTGCTGCAGAGTCTCTCAATTGCCCTTTGGTGGGCCATAAGTTGTTGACCCTGTATCTTTCTGTCCATCTGTTTCATATTTGTGCTCAATGAACTTTATCACTGTATTACTGCCGTAAGTTCACAGTTATTAAACAGAAGTGTTGCCTCTTCGTTGCTACTTAAGAGCACTTCCAAAAACCTGTACATGTTCAGCTTCCTCGTGTCCAGCTCCTCGGTCTTAGTCCGTAAATGAATGAAGAAACCTAAGGTTTCCAGCCAGCATAATACATTGAATCCTCACATGCGTAGATAATAGTAAACACGTGTAACCCCAGGTGCCATGTGTTAACTCACTCAGCTCCACCTGGTCCTCTGAGCGGCCTCTAAGGTGTGGGTCCTGTCCATGGGAGGAGGTCAGCATGTGGCAGAGGGGGAATCCAAACTCAGGTATTCTGAGACTCCAGAGTCCTAGTTTGCACCTGCCCACCCCCCCACTACAACTGACTGAAATACAGCCTTTCCCGTAAGTGTCCACAGAAAAAAATAACATATAGGAGCAGTTCATGTCTTCAAAGGCTGATGTTCCCAAGCGGATTCTATTTGCATATTATGGAAACTGTTGCCAGATGAGCAATCAGTATTAGATTGGAGACCATTTAGATTGTTTTTAAGTAATCTCTTGTCTTTCCTGTCTTTGTTCCCTATTTTTAGGTTAGAACTTTCCTGGAAAATTTCCATATCTCATTATTTTCTGTTTCTGAATAAAAACAAAACTGCTAGAAGGAAAGCAAAGAAATGGCCTTAAGTTATTACCGACTTGAGGCAATGACGTATGCCCAGAGCCAGGGCTTCCCTCTTTCTGTTCCTCGGTCTCTGCTGTTAATAACTGCTGTCCTCCAAGTCATTGCACTCAAAAGTATCTGCTCTGATTCTCTCTTGTGCTGCCACAGCATTGCTGCCCCGTCTTACCTTTTCACTCTCTGTAAGAGTTTTCACGTGCGGCCCACCTTCACTCCTCTGCTGCTGCCCTGTGGACGCCCTCCTCGCACAGCCCTGCAAGTGCCCTCTCCCTCCCTATGCTTCTAGAAACATGAACTGGAGAAAAACTTTGGTCATCTCATTGCCATGCTCACAATTCTCCACTGCTTCTCACTGCTTGCCAAGTCAAGGTAACAGTATTTAGCCTCCTACATGGCATCCTCCTGGGATCCAACATTAAGAGATAGCTGGGCGTGGTGGCTCGTGCCTGTAATCCCAGCACTCGGGAAGCAGAGGTAGGAGGATCGAGCATTCCAGGCTAGTGTGGGCTACATAGAGAAACCCTTTCTCAAAAAAAAAAAAAAAAAAAAACCAATGACATTGCCAGTCATTTTCAGTCTTCCTTTCACATGCCCTGTACTCTAGCTCACTTCTTCCAGATGTCTGTGTTTTGCTTCCTCTCTGCCTTGATGCCCCCCTCTTCCAGTTTTGTTTCTATCTTGTTAACTTTGAGGTTGAGCTCTGTCGCTTTCATCTTTTTACCCCTGAATGCATAATTAGAACTGACATGCTTGACAACTGGCAGAATTCTATGCTGGTTCTCTGACCCAGGGGCCAGGGACCATTATGGCAGGAGGACTAAATGGAACCTTGGAACTCTCCCCACCAAGATAGAAAACCAGAAACAACACTGCTTCCTGGGGGAACTGGCAGAAATTATGCTGCTCTCAAAGACTAGAAACTGCAGGCTTTGTGATACCTATCACATTCTCACTCGACTCACATAGAAAAAGTAGAAATGTGAGCTGGATCTTGGAACATGAATGCAGTGTCATAGACTTAATCAGGTGGTCATGCTGATCACAGAGTCTGCCCAGACACAGCGTCTTTACGCAAAGGTTGTATCTTTAAGCAGCAAGGTCCCTGGCCTTGCTGTACAGCTCTTGACCTAGCTGTTGATTTTTTTTTGTCTGGATTTGCAAGGGTCACTGGAAGCAGCTTCATTTTCCTGGCAGGCCTACAGCTGACCTGCACAGTCTTGGCTCATGGCTGCATCAGTCCTCTGTCTGCTATCCATGAGTCCATAGACTTGGTCATCTTGATGTTCCCAACAATCACATTGGTCTTCCCCATTGACCTTGTAATGCTGTTTGTATCTGATGATTAGGGAGAAGTGAGTGCCCCAGATGCCCAGTAAGACTCATGAGCAAGAGGACAGGAATGAACCTGTTCTTGGCCACATCACTTTCAGTTGTCAATCAGGAGATGAAAACTACACCAGTTATTTGAATGAAGAAAATGTAATGTACAAACAGGCCTATAATCCTAGCTACTCAGGAGACAGATCAGGAAGAGTGCAAGACCCTATCTCAAAAAAATCCATCAAAAAAAAGGCTGGTGGAGGTGACTCAAGTGGTAAGAGTGCCTGCCTATCAAGCGAGTGGCTCTGAGTTCAAACCCCAGTGCTACAAAGAAAGGAAATGTAATGTACATAATTATTAGCTAGTAAGAGGTGGCTAGTACCTAAAGGGGGTGAAAAAGACCAAAGAATGCAGGAATATGTGCTGAGTAAGGAGGAGAGGCACAAGCACAGCTACCATCAGGGCTGAGTGAAAGCACCCCAAGAAGGAACAAGTTGGAAAGAGTCCTCCCCACCTTGCAAGGCTGAGACTCACCCCATTTAAGAGGGCATGCTGGGGCTCACTGGCAGTGGGAGGTGCACACCCCTAGTCTCCTGTGCGTGGGTAGGCACCACAGTCAGGAGGGGGTTGAGGGGTATGACTGACCTGGGCAGAGGCCCTTTCTTTTCCAGGCTTCACAGTTCCTGGCACATTCTGTGGACAGAGGACCACTGCTGCTCTGGTCCGTTTCTCCACGGCGGTTTCAGTTCCATTGATTTCTACCCATCCGTGTTGTTTCCAACCTTCTGCTTACTTGAGGTTTATTTTAACCTTCCTTTACAGCACTCAGGGAGAGCTGTAGCTCAAATGGCCAGGCAGCTTTTGTAGCTGAAGTTGCACCTCGGTAGCTGTGTCCCAGATGTTTTGACATGTTTTTTCTTCACTTGTCATCATTGCATTTGAAACACCATGTCTTTGCCCCTCATCAGACTGCATGTCCTCAAGTTTGTTGTAGCTTTCCTTTGTTTCTTCTGGTGTGTTGCTATAGCCATCAGTGAATTTTTTATTTCAAATGTTCTCAATTCTAAATATTTGTGCAGTTCATTTTTAGGATTTTAAAGTTATTTTTGTTCTGAAATATGCTGTCTTTTCATCTTCAATGTGTTTTCCTTTCCTTACTCAGCAAGGTCTCTGTGTCCAATTCCTGCCTAACAACCCCAACATCTGAGTCCCCTCAGAGTTGGCAGTTGTTCATTGTTTATTGAGAATGGGTTTGCATTTCTCTGGCTCTTCTTTTGCATCCTGGACATTGTTACTGTTGTGATGTTGAGCCCTTGAGTTTTCTTCTGTTGCTCTAGAGTTTTGGTCTGCCTCAGGCTGCCAACACCACAATGGGCAGGATTCAGATCACACTGTGGCTTACTACACCTCAGTTATGGTCCCAGGGTCAGTCAGAACTCCAAGATGAGTAGAGGCACATACATCAAGGGCTTCTTCCTACCTCTTCTTTTTGAGGTTCTTTGCTCAGACTTTGGTGATCCTGGTTCCCTCAAGAATCCTCACCCCATTTCTCATTCCTGTAGCCAGAGATCGTGGATTAGCTACCCAGAACTGCCTCAGGCTGAGCTGCCTACAAGAGAGAGAGCTACCAAGAAACAGGAAACGCAGTCCGTATAGGCTGCTTGCTCAGCTTCCAGTTTCTCTCTACAATCTGCCTGCTTTGTTCAGCGTCCAGAGCCCTCCGGTAGTCATACTTTGTATTTTGTCCAGCGATTATAGCTGATCTTTCTGGCAGCAAATGTCACAAAAGCTGTCTTTCTCTCCTCACTGGATCAATTGCCTTCTCCCCTCTGTAGCCTTGCCCTCTGTCCTTTCCTGGCTTTAGCTGCTAAAGCTCACTGCTGCTATCCATTTTCAAAGGCCCATTCTCAGGGGACAGTCTTACTTCTGCGTTATCAGAGTCCAAGTCATTGTAGCCTCTAGCCACTGATAAGCCCATGTATTGAAAGTATCGCAACTAAAGACACAGTATTTCCTTGCTTGTTACAAAGATCATCATTTCATGATGGCTCCTCTGTACTAGACACTACACAAAGCACTTTGTATGACTGCTTTCATTTCATTCTTTTTTTTTTTTTCCAGTTACATTCAACTTTATTTTTTTTTTTTATCATACTCCCTACTTTTTTTTCATTTCATTCTTATGGCAGTCATTTGAGGTTGGTCATTGTGTCTCATATCCCCACTGTACAGATGAGAAAATAGAAGCTGGTTAGCATAGATCAGTAAGGTGACATTCAGAACCACATGCCTTGGTTAGACATGGTGGCTTGTGGCTGTAATCCCAGCTATTCGGGAGGTGTAGGTAGGGTAGGTATTGCAGTTAGAGGCCAGCTCTGGGCAAAAACGCTAGGGCAAGGTTCAAGTGGTAGAGCACCTACCTAGCAAGCCCAAGGCCCTGAGTTCAAACTCCAGTACCACCAAAAACAAATTAACCAAAAAATGCCTCTATACCTATTTTATAAGGAGCAGCAGCCAAATACAAATTAGTTTTATTTCACTTGAAGCTTCAACATTACATAAACTCTTATCACCTAGGTTTATCGTTTTGAATACAAGAACTCTGAATCATTGAGGTGCTTACCTACTTTATACTAATCTGGGAAGAGTGCTCACTGGAATTATGGTGCTTTTGTGAGAAAACTTACACTGGTATCTGGCTTCAAAGTACTTAAAACCTGTGATGCTGGCTCTTTTGGCTACTCTACGGCAGTGCTGTGTTCATCTCCGCACATGCAATGAGCTGTACAGCTGAGCACTTGTATGCAGCACTGATGAGTGTCAGCCTGGAGCTTGGTAGTCTATGGGACTGTGTAGATAGGTTCTTGAGGTCCTACTGATATCTGCTATGAGCTGGACAATAGGTTAGCTGTTAATGGAAAATTGGTAACATTACCCTAAGTGGACATTACTACTTAGCAAAGTCTAGATCTACTTTTTTTTTTTTTATTCTAGTACTGGGTTTGAACTCAGGGCTTCATGCTTGCTAGGCAGGCATTCTTCCACTTGAGCCACTCCAAAGATCTTTTTGCTTTGGCTGTTTTTCAAATAGGGTCTCAAATTTTTGCCCAGGTTTGTCTGGGCCATAGTTATCCTATTTATACCTCCCACATGATTGGAATAATGGGCATAAGCCACCACGCCTAGTTTATTGGTTGTGATGGAGTCTCGTAGCATTTTGCCCAGGCTAGTCATGAACCTCCATCCTCCTGAGTAGCAAGGATTATAGGATGAGCCACTATACCTGGCCTTATATCTACTTTTTTAAAAGAAAGCAAAAAAGAAAAATTAATTTTGAAATAATTTTAGACTTGTAAAAAATCTGCAAATCAAAGCTAAGGAGTTCACATAGCCATTTATTCAGCTTATCTCAATGTTAACTGCCTCCCTGAGCAGAGCACAAGCATCAAAGCCAGAATTTCTACGCTGAGCAGTATTAATAACTAAACTGCAGACTCACTGGAGCTTCACCTGTTCCAACTCAGTCTGGATACTTGCTGCCGTCAGTCTTAGTTTCCTTAGTGTGTAATGGTGCCTCCACCTTTCCTTGTCTGTCCTGACCTGAGACTCCTGAGATTATTGATCAGGTGCTTTTCTGGAATGCCTCATTGGACATCTTCTGGTAATTAGATGGTGTGGTGCATTTTGGCAACACCATGGAAGTAGTGGTGCCAATTTGGTCTCTGCACCATATCAGAGCAAGCATGTGATGAGCTGACCTGCTGAGCACACTGACCTGGATTACATGTTGAGGTGGAGTCTGTTGGCTTTCTTCCTGGGAAGACAATTAATATCTTGGAGGAGGTAAAGTGAAAATATGCAGAACAGCTGAGAGAAAAGTTTCTCCCGAGACTTTCACCCACTCATGTTTGCATCCATCTGTGGGCGCACCTACAGTAGTCACTACTGTGGTGTGTGCCTCATGAGGATTTTGTTTCCTTCATTCCTTCTACCTTTATTAATTCATTTGCACTTTTGTTGAGACAAGATCTCAGTATGTTACTCAGGCTGGTCTCAAACTCCTTGGCTTAAGCAGTCCTCCTGCTTCAGCCTCCCTAGTGATTGGGGCAGTAGGCACACACCCTGCACCTGGCCCTCCTACATTTACTCATTGAAATTCTTCTGTGAAGCCAACCCACTCTTTCTCTGTACTTTTTAATGTTTTTTTATTATTTATATTAGTACTGATTCATGAGTATTTCTTTTATTCCTTGAGCTATAGAGCCAGTCCTGTCACTATATCATTTCTTGTTCAAATGGTTCTAGTTCTGGACTTGGGCACTCCTCTGCTGTGCCCCTGCACCTATACTATGCCTCCTTTCTTCTTAAAGCATTTTCTGTCTGCAATCACGGATTCTCCAAGCTCTTTGACGGTACTGAGGTTTAAACTCAAGGCCTGGGGTTTGTTAGGTAGTTACTCTGCTACTTGAGCCACACACCTCCAGCTGCTCTAGGCTTTTGTGTTTTCTCTGCCTCTGCTCTGGAATCCACCACTGCTTCTCAGAGCTCTGGATCCTTTCAGTGGTTATTAAATTGATTTTCAGCAGAGGTGCCAAGGCAATTTAGTGAGGAAAGCAAAGCCCTCCGTAAATGGTGCTGGACTGACTAGCTGTCTGTATGGGGAAAATAGTGAACTTGGACACATACCATACAGAAAAATGAATTTCAAACGTGTCATAGACCCAGATGTCGAACCTTAAACCGTAAGATTTCCAGAAGAGTACATAGAAGCGAAATCTTTGTAACCTTGTAGGAAACACAGGTTTCCTAGGAGGACGCAGAAATCTGACCATAAAAAAAGAAAAGGATATTTTGGAATTCATCAAATTAAAAACTAATATTCCATTAAGAAAATGAAAAGTTGGTGGAGAGAGGGGTAAAAGAGAATGGTGGAGGGGGGTGAATACATTTGATATATTGTAAGGACCTTTGTAAATACCACAATGTACCCCTATCCAGCACAACAATAAAATAAAATTTAAAAAGAAAATGAAAAGGCAAAACTACATGCTGGAGTAAAAAAATGCATGTATCTAACAAAGGACTTGTATTCACTAAATAAAGAATCTTACAATTCACAATAAAGTAGTAGCCCCTATGTCTATAATGCACAAGTCTTTGGACAGACATTTCACAAAAGGGCCAACAGAGTGGCTCAAGCAGTAAGAACACATGCCTAGCAAACATCAGGCCCTGAGTTTTCAAACCCCAGTGCCTCCAGGAACAAAAAAAAAGAAGAAGAAGATACATAAAGTGGCCAGTAGGCACATACAAAAAGGTGTCTGGCATCATTAGTCTTTAGGGAAAAGTACACTGTTGAAACGGCTAACATTTAAAGACTGACAATACCAATGGTTGATAATAATCCCAAGCAACTGGGATTCTCATCCATTGCTGTTGGGGTGCAGAATGGCACCTCGCTTTGCAGAGGAGTGGAGCATTTGCTCATCAGTTGTCATATACCCTTTCCATAAAACCCAGCAATTCCACAAAGTCAGTCCACAAAAGAGTCTCACCCTAATGTTCATGATGGCCAAAACTGGAAGCTACCCAAGCAAACCTAAGCAGGTGAGTGGATGAACAAATTTCGATCCATCTCTAGTAAAATACTCTAGTAAACCTGCCTTATTCACAGACTTATTACATGCAGTTTTGATCAAGTGCGGACAGCAAACAATCTATAAAAATCAAAAGATTTCAAAAACCAGAATTTGAAATCCCACATGGCTCAGTTGATGCAGACAAGTGTTATGCTTAAACCGTTGTGTGATCTGCTGAGTGTTTCTCTGCCTTTCATTGTTTGAAAATGTGCTTCCCAAAAAGCAAGGTAAAAATTAATGTGCTTAATTTAAGTAATATGTGAACATTTTAGATATGCTAAAAGGCAGAATGTCTTTATTGGAAGTTGTTGAGTGCAGGAAAATGAATCAAGCATCCGCAGTATAGCACTGAACTCTGCATTTTCAGGATTAGTGGTTTTCACTTAATGGTGGTCTCTTTGGAACTGTGGACACCAAAGGTTAATTGTACTTAGAAGTGAAAGGAAACCGATTACTGGTGTAAGCAACAGTATGGATGAGTCCCACTCTGCCGAGCAGAAGCAGCAGAGTGGAAAGTCACACCTTGATTCACTGTGCCTGACCCTCTCACACAGGCAGTTACTGTCTGTAAGGACTGGAGGCACCACAGTGGTCACCCAGAAGTGGAGTGCAGGGTCAAGCTGTGTGCAGTACCACCACTGATGGTGGCGGCCATTATTGGCTGTCTGGTAGTCTTCTGAACGTTTTGGCCGTGCTTCTCATTTCCTTGTGTCCATTGGCTTTGCTTTCAGGTGGATCTATCTTAACGACCAGAATCTATGCATCCCTGCCAGTTCCTCTTTTGTGTATGGAGCTGTGCCCATAGGAGCCAGTATTTATGTTATTGGAGACCTCGATACAGGTAAGAATGTTGCAGTGGTTTTTTTGAGCCGTTTCCAGTGAATCAGGCGTACATTATCTCACCTTTACTCACTCTCGCGGTTTTAGGTACCAACTACGACTACGTGCGAGAGTTTAAAAGAAGCACGGGCACCTGGCATCACACAAAGCCACTCCTTCCATCTGACCTTCGCCGCACAGGGTGCGCAGCCTTACGCATTGCTAATTGCAAGCTCTTCCGCCTGCAGCTTCAGCAAGGCTTATTCCGTATCCGTGTTCATTCCCCGTGACGAGGGAGCAGAGCAGGCAGCGAGGTCCTGCCCCGGTATGCATTGCATTGCCGATGGAGGGAGAGCGGAGTGTGTGCTGGCTTTGGTATGGTAACCCTTCAGTGGTTTGTAACGCTGAGAAGCTTGGGCTTCTGCGCTTGTTTGGAGACCATGTACCTGCTGAAAAACCACCTGGGAGGAATCCTTTCCTCCAGCTCCATGTGCCGCTGACCGTGGAGGGTAGTACATATCAAAAGGAAGGGGGAGTGGGAACTGGTGTAATGTAAAATATCAAAGTTAAGATTCTACGGTGCGTTTTCCCTAAAGGAAACCCGCACCTGACTGGCGGCTGTGTTCCAAGTATGTGGCTTTGGTAAGCTGGAGAAGCCAGCTATGCAAATCAGCTTATCCAAACGTACCGAGATCCGGTAGATTCTGCCTAGCCCCACCCAGTGCCCGACGTGTTAGACTGGACTCCATGCCACAGTCTCCACACACTGCTAGTGCTCTGTCCTAAGAATCTTTTTAAACTATGTTATGATGAATTGAAACCAAGATAGAATTTCTCCTTCATAACGTTCTGTCAGTAGTGTAAAGACTTGGTTAAATGATGGGTCAGGTTGCAGCCCTCATGTGAACTTAAAAGAAGTTGCTAATGTTAGGATGTGTCATGCCATAACTACTGAGATAGTAGTTTCAGACTTGTGAAGGGTCTCATGCAGTGCCATTCTTCCTTTCCAGTTGGTCAAAATCATTTTATAAGTATGAGGATAATAGTAGGAAGGAGATTTTGTAGAAACAGACCTGAATCAGACAAATAATAGTCTGCTATGACTTAAAAAAAAAAAAAGACTGTCCAGATAAAATGCATAGGGATCAAAATCTTTTTAATCTGCCTGAAAGCACACTAAGTCTTGTTTACTGTTGCTTAGGATTTGAAAACTTGTCATAGAGTGTGACTGTGTTAAGATGTGAGTGTTGTAATACAGTGTTCCCAAGGCCACTCACAGTAGGAGTTAGACAGACTATGTTACGAGTAACGTCTGGCTGGTAGAATGAGCTACCTCACAGTAATTTCCTTCTGTTCACAGTAGAGCAAATTACTCTGCTCGTTCCCTCCTCTCCTGCCGCTCACGCCCACCTCAGCCCTTCACCCCACTTCCCATTGGGAGAAATGAATTCTTTCATTTGTCGAACTTGTACGATATTTTGGTTTCCATTCAAATTATAACCTTGGTGTGAAATCAGGGACTTCAAAGTGCTTGATTACTTCATAGTTTGAATTTTATGCAATATCAAATTTCTAATCAATTTAATATAGAGTTCTTCATTTCTAATTGTTTTCTATAGCTTTTTTTTCTCAGAATATGACTAAGAACATGGCAACATTTTGTCTTAATGAGTAGTAAATATATAAGTACATCCTTTGGTTATAAGTTTGAGAACAGGAATTTCTCTAGAAACTTCCATGTGGGATGTTTGTGTGCTTTTAACATACATATAAAACACTACTTACATTTTCCTACCCATGAACATGAAAAAGGGTGACCTATCTTGCAGTTTGGTTTTGGTTTTTTTCTTACACTTGCTGAAGTCAGTCAACAAAAAAAATTGCTGAAAAAGGTCAGGCCCACAGGGGATCTAAAGAACGTTAGGTGCAGCACCTTAACACTGTGCTGTGGCCAGAAGGCACTTGGCAAGGAGGCACTAGGCCCACGTGCAGTCCAGTCAAATTCAGTCAATGTCAGTCAAAACAAGGCTCAAAGTTACATTGTGTATCAGCTAGCTGTTGACTGTACATTTTCCCATAATCCTTCATTAGCTTTTCATCAGAATAAGCTGCATAGCCACCGCAAAGAAAGAACATTTTCTTTCTATGATTAAATCCTAGTTTTAGAGGAAACAAATTGCCAAAGAGGTGAGCTGGCTTTGGTGAAATGTCCTGCACAGAGCAGAACCTTGCATGAAGGAGCCACAGTTGAGGAACACTGAGATAGGGCCTAGCTTCCTGTGAGAGCTGCTACGATAGTCAGCAGTGCTCCTTTCTTACTTCCTGGAGTTTAAAATGCTTCTCCGTCCACATCAGGCCTCTCAAGGAGACAAGTCGTTATTTAGGAGTGAATAGGTCCTATCACAGAATTACCTGTCCCTGCGTGATTTGATAAATTTACTTTGAAAATTTGCTTCTTTTAAAATTCAGTTTACTGACACTGTAGCTGCAGAAATCAGATAATGTGTATTTTATGAAATAAATTTGCCATTTAATATGTGATGCAATAACCAACAAAAGCTGCTAAGTGCCAAGCTGTTTGTTATTTCACTGTATATAAACATAGTACTATCATGCTGAGGTGTAGGGTTGTATTTAATTATTATGTTCTAAAACTAATATGACCTATTGATAAATTGCACTCATTTTAGTATTATGAAATAAATTATAACTCATTTCATGCAGGTTTGTGTTTTAACACTCCACTTATACCTTGAAATATCTTTTCTTGATAAATTTTTGGTAGTTCTTTCTCCATAGGCACTTTTGCCAAGTGTAAGTTGCATTTGGCGACTGAGGATAGTTCTTAAAATTTTAAATAGAAATATCTTTGGGGGAAGTGCAATTTATTTTCATTATCTCCAACAGAAGGAACACTGTCTCAGGTTAGAATAAGTGAATATTTAAAGGAGCTCACCTAGGCTAGAGTCTAAAGCAGATTTACTTGTTTTTTTGTTTAATACATCCAAACGTAGATTCTTCAAAGATGTAAATGTTTAATTTAAAATGAAGTGCTTTTTTTTTTTTTTTTTTAAATTTCAGGAGCGCTTATATCCTGTGAGAAAAAGAGGTATGACAGATGAGTGAGTGTGTGTGCATGTGTGTTTTACTGTATGACTCAATAGGTGTGTTTATATATGTTTACTTTTTGAATTGTAGTTCCAGACTACATATATTACTGTCTCCTGGTGCTTCAGAGAAATTCTTGAGCCTTTTGCCCTTCAGTTGATACTCCTACTGTATTAAACTCGAGTGCAGATGCAGAGATGTTTGTAGTTTGTAGTAAGTTGCGCTTGGTGTTTGCATTTCTCTTCTTTAACAAGATTGAAAGCAGTATTTATTGACTGGAGTTGGTACACTGTGGTGATTTGGCCTAAGTACTTTAGCTTGCCGTCTCATTGCTGTGAGGAGTTGGTGGCTCACTTTGGGCTTCTTAAACTGCAGCAAGAGAAAGACTATGGGGGTTGTACTGGGCAATGCATTGTCTGTACTGAAGTGTTCCCTTGTCCTGCACGCCCACTTCACCTTTACACAAAAGTACACTGGGCATTGGCATCAGCGGTGTGCATGTGTTGTCTTTATAATTTGCAAGTGGGGGAGACTGCCAAGGCACTGCATAGGAAACATTCTTTGTATCTGTGACAAAGGCATGGCTGTCTGCTGTGGCAAACCCTCTCACTCACTCAGGGGCAGTGAGTTGGGTTTCTAGGGAACTATCTTGCCTTCCTAGGTTCATTAGGGCTCACTTGGTACATTCCTACCTAGTGTACCAAACCAGAGGTCCCCAGTAGTTTAAAGAGTACTACAAACACTGCAGAAGCAGTGTTGCCTTCCACAGTGCTGGCTTTCCTGCCTAAAGAGGCCTCCTGTGGTCAGATGAAAACATTTGGTCTCTGGGGAGGAATGAGGTGGCACTCCCATTGCGTGGACTTTGAGGTGCTGGAACCCCCCTGAAAACACCCTGTAGAAGGAGAGGTGAGGCTGCTGTCAGTGGCTGCCCCTACACAGTGATCATCAAATGCTTGGCAAATGAATTAGGGTATCCGTGCAATCAAGGGTACCATCCAATTGGAAGGAGAAATGCTCTGAGAGTTGGTTTGCTGGATTTTAAGTGAAAAGCTTTGTGCACAGATGGGCTGAAATCTTACAGAGTGAGAAACTAGTACAGAATAAAAATGCAAAGTGCCTGCCTGGTGTGCCCAGTGCACAAGCCTGTGTTCTCCATATGTTCCTCAGGATTTTCCAGACCCTATGCTCAGCACACCTCATAACGATTATCATGTTTAATGTTAGGTTTTATTTACTGCTTTTTATATGGGCTCAAAGTCCTTTCCAGAAGCTACTGTTTTGATCCTTACATCTCTGGGATGGGTGGGGTGCTGCCCCCATTGTTCAGAGAGCAGTCTCTGAGACCCAAGAGATGTGGCTTCTTTCTCACTTCAGATGTGAGTGGCAACCAGAAAGCAGAAACCAGGCTTTGGGATTATCAGCTCACTGTTCAACCTTGTAGACTATAACCCGGTTTTGTCGGCATGCATGTCTTTTTAATCACAAAATAATCATTTGTAGTACAATTCAACCTCCCAAACACATCCTTTGCACGTTGCACAAGGATGAGCTGAGAGACCTTTGGTTTTGTCAGTTAGCTGTGGAAGTTTAAGAATTTACCCTCTGTCGCTGTTTGGAGAAGAAGCAGGGTTTGCTTGTAAGAGATGAAACTTCATTGTCCTTCTCTCTGCCCAGGGCGTCAGTGAGGGAAAGCAACCTTCTCAGAAGGTTGAAGAAAGGGTTTGCTAGCTCTTTAATAATCCCTGAAATGTTCTTTACAGCTCATTTAGAAGGTTCAGATGTTTATTATGTGAAGATGAGAACGAACCATTGCCCATATTTGAGAACTTGAACCTGGATTGAGCAGCTCTTACTCTTGCTGTCGGTGAAGTCTCAATAGTACTGAACTGTAGACTTTTTCTGTATTTATTGCAGGTAAGCTGGTAAAACTTGGTGAAGTTTTATATTTTGACAAGTAATTTTTTTATTATTTTAACTCTGACTCTAACTCAATATAGTCTCATTGTAGTAGTTCCAGTTATGTGACCTATGCGGAGTTCAGTCACACTTCTAGACCCCTTGGTCTAAGGTATACAGCTTCAGAAGGTTGCTTCTTGTTCAGTTCCACCATTGACGTTCTCCAAGTGATTGGACTTTAAAACTCCTTCCCTTTCTCATCAAATAAGTAAAACTACTTTATATAATCTAGTGAGAAACGTCTGTTGCCTTCTCTTTTTATTTTGAGATAAAAACTAATCATTTTAAATTGCTACTCAACTGAAATTTGGCCTAATGATAAATCTTGACAGTGACATCCCAAAGTCATGTGTACACACTTAAGGGAACATGGAGCTCAGGCAGCCAGTTAGTAGGATCCACATCACTACGTGGCCATTTCAAATAATTCAGATCCCAAGTACATGTAAGGTTCACCTTACTCCTTGGTGGAGATACTTACTAGGTAGGGCCTTACTTACAGCATAAGACTGAGTATAAATTGTAGGTATAGATACATAATTTTTATCATTCTTACTCACCAGACACAAAGAACATGTACCTTAGGCCCTCAGGTTAATTTTTTTCAGTTATACCAGGGAACTTAGTTTAAATACAGCTCTGCCTACCTTGCTTTATCATGTTTCTTGTTTAATTGGATGAGAATTACACACATTTATTCCCTGTTCTTTGTGTTTATAGGAAAAACTCCATTCTCAGCTACCTCATTATGTAGTGGTGTGCTTGATCCCCTGCCAATTCAGAAGAATTCAACACATTCTGTCCTTTAACAAAAGCCTGGAAGCAAGCAGTAAGCGGCCTTCAGGAATATAATTCTCTAAGGCGTGTTTTCCATTTTCCTTCTTCTTTTTTTTTTTTTTTTTTAAATAGGCACTTTAAATCAGGAGGAACAATAATTCTCCTGGAGCTACTGCAAATGATTACTTGAAACTCAACTTGAACTTTACAGAATCTTTAAAAGGCTATGTTTTCATATAGCAGAAAAGTAGTATATTTAAATACCACTGCTGTGTAAAATAGAGG